CTTTTCACATCGCTCCTTTTATCCAAGGTTTGAATTTGAGAGTTTCTTTTATTGATCTTTAATATTTCTCCTCGAACTCGGAAGTCCAGAAGATATTAAGTAATCTTGAACTTTCTACATCTCGCCTTCTCGCCTTTAACTTAAACGTTCAAAGGTTTGAACTTTGAGTAAGTTCAACACTCACATCGCACCTCGAACTCATGGGTTTAGAGGATTGAATTTCATGAACCTTCAACATCGCAGCTTTACCTTAAGCGTTCAAAGGATTGAATTTTGGTTCGTGATTGATTTTAACATCGCACCTCGAACCCGTGGGTTTTGAGGATTGAATTTGATCAATTTTTGCCTTTACCTTACCGATTTTAAGTCTTATGGGAGTCCGTGGCCCCCATTTAATTTCTGATCGAACTCGGAATCACGAAATTAAATAACTCCGTTTATTAAAAGTTTCGTCCCTTGAAAATTTTTACAAGTCCATTTTAGGACCATTTTGACATTTCAAGGGTAATAGCGCTTCAAGTGCTCTGCGTTCCATGGATGCGCAAGCACTCTTCCTTCCAGTTCGGCCAGCATATACGTTCCAGGTCGGACTATGCCTTTAACCTCGAACGGTCCCTCCCAACTTGGGTCAAGGGTGCCCACATGACTTTGAATTTTCCTTAAGACCAAATGTTCAACTTGGAAGCTTCGAGGTCGAACTCGGGCATTGTAATGTGGCCATTCTGTTTTGATATTCTGCTAGGCGCAGCTGAGCCCTTTCTCTTCCAATAAGTCCAGGTTAAGGAGTAGCTCTTCTTCGTTCTTCGCTGACTCGTACTGCTCTACTCTGCCTGTTGGTATGCCGATCTCTACTGGTACAACAGCTTTGGAGCCAAAGGCTAGCGAGAACGGAGTTTCGCCAGTTGACTCCCTTAGGGTGGTCCGATACGACCATAATACTTCAGGTAGCTCCTCGGCCCATCTCCCCTTTCTGGAATCCAGTCTCAGCTTGAGTCCTCGTTTAATGATTTTGTTTACTACTTCGACCTGCCCGTTGGCCTCCGGATGAGCAGGGGACGAGCTGAGATGACTTATTCCCACGTTACTGCAAAAGTCCTTGAACTTTGCATTGTCAAACTGCTTTCCGTTGTCCGTCACAATAGCATTTGGTATACCAAAACGGCATACAACGTTTGCCCATATGAAAGATGTGACTCTAGACTCTGTGATGTGGGACAGTGCCTCGGCCTCGGCC